TCTAAAGATTACATGTGTGAATCTACTTGCACAACTAGTAAATAAATTTTTGAAAAACTCTGCATAATCTATGAAGGAACAAATGAAGTGAAATAATCTAGGTTGAATATTCTGCTCAATGATTATGAATTATTTTGCATAAAACCTAATGAATCTATTTCTGAAATGTATATTAGGTTCACTCAAATTATCACTATCCTACATTCATTAGGTAGAGAACTTACAGGTTTTGAAAAAGTTAACAAGATTATGTGTTGTCTACCTAGTTCCTATGATGCAAAAATAATTATCATTATTGAATTCAAGGATATAAATATTTATTCAATTGATAACTTACTTGGATCACTCATTACTTATGAGGAAGGAGTGAGTCAAAGGCAGATTGATGTAGGTGAAAAAAGAAAAGAAAAAACTATTGCTTTAAAGGCTGATAATTTTGATAGTGACAGTTTTGTACCTGAAGGCGATTATGACATTGAGTTGATAACAAGGCAATTTAAGAGCTTTCTGAAAAAAAAAAAGATTCATCAGTAATAAAATAAAGATAAACCTAATAAAAATTAAAAGGCTTCTTTTGATGTCATCTGTTTTGAATACAGGAAGCTAGGGCACATGAGGACTGATTGCCCAATCTTAAAGCTCACCCATTCAAGAAAAAGGGGGAAGAAAAATCTAAATTTAAGAAGAACAAGTAATGAAGTCAAAAGGCTTTTTGGGCACACTCTGCTTCAGACTCTTCTGAGATAGAAGCTAAAGAGGAGGTAACCAAACTGTGCTTAATGGCAGATAACATCTTGACCATTCTGATCAAGAGGTATGTGAGCTTTCTTACGATGAAATATGTGATGTTTGATATGTATTTTCTCTTAATTGCTTGATTTCTGTAATGTTTTGGTTGTCCTTCTATTTAGATTTTGCTTTATTTTCTTTCCTAAGGATTTCCTGATCTTTCATGCCCATATCTGATTTTTGCTAAAACTATATTGTACGATACATATTGTACAATATGATCTTCACAAATATCATCGCAAATCTAATCACAGTGCATAAAAGGTTCATATTTTTTAATTATTAGTGATTACACTCTATGACCACCACCTTCGTACTGTACGATACACATTATAGTAACAGTTGGATGAATTGAATTCAGCCGGTACGATATTAAATAATGCATCATATTGTACGAACACATGTTTATACTATATGATCATCTTAGTCAATAATCGTCCATACTAACTCCTCAGGATGATGACTTTGTCTCTAATTGTCCAGTACGATCTTGATCATACTGTATGATGAGACTTACTTTTTGACTATATCACCAATTTTATTTAAACAAACCAACTTCAAGGTTTTTCTTCACTCAAACTCTTATAATCTCCTTTCCTTCTAACTAGAGCTCTAAATCTTAAAAATAGGTGGAGGCAAGTGCTCTCGTGCACTCGTCAAGAGTTCCTCTCGACGCACTGTAGATCCTAGATCCTCTGAAGCCACTGATGAATAGGCCTATCAGAGGTACAAAATGGTCGGGATCACACCTTCCAAAATCGTCAACGAGAAAGTCTTAAATTTTCAGGTACTGAATCTTTTTGCCCACACCACTCTTTGTTACATCCTCTCCCTTGCCTACATGTTTAATTTAAAACTTCTTTTTGAATTTTTTGCAAGTTTTTGCATCAATATTTAGGGCACTATTCTCCTATCTTACATTAATAGTAGACCTATCAAAATCACCTACCAAGAATTATATGACTTTCTCCACCTTTCCACAACTTATGAGAAAGTTCAACATGTAGCTTCATACACTGAGTATAATTAGACCCAAGCAAACACTGTTCTTAGAGAATCCATTGTTAACTATCACATTCATGTTGTCAACAAGTTGGTGCAAGATGTTAGAATCATCCAACATATTCTTCGCAACTCTATAATTCCAAAAGCTGGTGATCAGATCAACATCACTCCAGCTCTATCCATAGCTACCTATTACATTATATCTCATATTGATTTTAATGCAGCTGATCTTATAATCTAATATCTTGAAAATCTATCCAAAATTAGAGATCCTAATCACAAGAGAAAGCCTAATCTTTTCATAGAACATCTCATTGCATTTAACCTAGAATTCAAGTATAATTTCTAATTTCCTGCACCACCTAATCACATCCCAGTCTTCTATTTCAATAGCTCCTTCCATGTCCTTTGTAGTGCTCTTTGCCACAATGGTTGATATGTTAACCATGAAGTAGAGGAGGAAGAGGAAGATTAATCTCAAGCGCCAGCTCTTATCCGCCAGCAGTCTCAGCTCGATCAACTGGTTCAGTGGTTTGATCAATAGGAGGCATATTTTGACTCATATATAGCAAAGCAGCAGCAACAACATGAGAATGACTTAGATCACTTTGATCAGTACGTAGACCAGTAGCAACAGCAGCAGCAGCATGATTAGGATATGGCTTGGCTTAGAAACTAATTTGCCTCGATCCACCAGTACTTCCAACCATCACTCCCAATATCCACTAGATCAGGAACCCTCCTTATTCTAATTTTTTTTTTCTATGATCGTTATACATTTGATGTTTTTTAGTTTCTTGTTTATTTGTTGTTGTTTCATTCTCTTTTTGTGATGTCAAAAGAGGGAGTAGCATGTGTTGTTAGCTTGTATTTTTCTTTGAGATGTTTAATTATATGTTTGTTTGTTAATTTTTTGTGTTATGTTGTTATGTATTCTTTTTCATTTAAAAAAAAAATTATCACCACCCTACATTTGAAAAAATCTACTTAGTGAGGGGAGCTTAGGGATTAGCAAAATACTGTTGAATCATAAATCAAAAATATTTGCTATAATAAAAAGGGTGAGATTGTTATAAATTTGGAACCAAGTCTGATGATTTTCATGATAACAAATATTATTGAATTTCTCAATATGCTAATTAAATTTATTGTATATCTATTTTTGTCATGCTCACTAACATTTTAGGACCACATCTCACTTGCAACCTCGATCAGCTCAAGACTGTGTATACTAAAATTAAAGTTTGTATTTTTAGTCTTTCTATACTTTTTACCTTTCTTGAGTCAATCATGTATTCTGATGGATCCTAAAGCTAAGTAACATTGCACAAACATACTCAAGGGAGCGAGTTAATGAGTTATAAATATTTTTATTTTTGAACTCAACGTACAATACGATTTATGTCATACTAGACGATCAGTAAACCAGAAAATCCTAATTTGGGCACTCTTTATTAATTGAGGCTGATTAAACTAATTATAATTGACGATCCCTATCGTACAGGACGATAAGTTATAATCATGATATTCAGCCGCCAATCACAATTTAGCCAATATTTTAATATTCAATTTTGTGTCTAATCATAACGTACGATAGTCATCGTACTGTATGATATATGACAATCATGCCTAAATTAATCATGTGATTAAGAGAATAATTATGATTAATTTGTTTGATCCAATCGTACCGGACGATTTGACCGATCGTATTGTATGACCCAATTCTTGCATGGGATGATAATTAATCGCCACTCATCGTACTGAACGATTCTCCATGCTGTTTATAGTGATCATACATGACGATTTGACCAATTGTACCATACATCCCAATACTTACATGGGCCCATCGTACTGGATTATCCATATTATTTATACTAATCATACTAAATGATGCTCTAAATTGTCCCGGACGATCAGTTCATCTCCTTGATCTAATCATAAAGGATATGTCTACTCGTATAGTACTAATATGAGTACTTTGCACTAATCGTGCAGGACGAAGTTGGATCGTATTGGTCGATCAGTATTGGTAGATTGAAATTAAGGGTTTTTTTAGAGGTTCTCTATTTAAGCTTTCCTAATATCTTATTTCTAAGACTTTTGTTGCTAAAGTGTTTTGAGTGGGAGCAAAGAAGTGCTTAGGAGAGCTTTGTGAGAGAAAAGAGGGAGAATTTTTGTTAGGGAAATTTGTGAGAGATTCATAAGGTTGCTCCAAGAAGTTTCTACCTCGTATTCTTCAAGCTTCTGCCTTTATCCTTTGCTGGCTATGGAAAGGCATTTTACAGCACTAGGTCTTAGTTTCCTGTCATCTCTAGGTGGGAGAAAAAGGATTCTTGGTTCTCTGTCATCTCCATAATGTAGAAAAATGATTTCAGGTTCTCTGACATTACCAGAAGGGTGAAAAAGAGTAAGGTCATCTACCGCACTGGGTTGGTGAAAGAGAATTTGCAAGGGCTTTTCTGTCTTACTGTGGGGGCAAAAGGAGAGACACTTATGTTAGTGCAATACCTAAAAAAAGATGCTTTCGGAGAGTGGACATAGATCAGACTGGATAGAGCCACTATAAATTTTGGTGTATTTATTTTTATTATTTTCCACACTTATTTTTTATTTGATTTACTGTGATTGAAAAACTCTGATTTTTTTTATTTGTGAAATTAATTCGCTTGCGCATTGGGGATTAAGGTTTCTGCTTTTAGATATTAAAATGGCTATAAAAGATTTTCTTTATGCTAAAGAAATTTTTAAATAACCAATTAACGCTTCTCTAACTTTGATTTAAGGTACTAAGGTCACTAAAATCAATCGTATTATCACAATCTTCGTTGAAAAACTTTTCAAAATATTTCATCTACCTTTGTTGAATATCCTCTTCTAATAAAAATACTTTTTGATCTTCAACCATAATGCACTTCACTTGAAGTAAATCTTTATTTCTCTTATCTATTTGCTTGGCTAACTTATACATATATCTTTTGTCATCTTTAGAGATTTTTAGGTTAATTTAACTTTGGAAAAAAATCTCAATACTTATTCAATGTCATACATTATAAATAATAACCCCATACTAATACTAAAAATGTTGAGCAAAATATCAATGACATAAAAATAATTGAGCTACGCTCATCCAAAATTTCCCCAAAAACACTCTAGTTCTTTCCCTGCACATTCCGGAGAGAAAGAATTTCACTGAAACTTATTATAAATTAGAAAAGAAATACTTTAACGTAATTAAAGGCAATTTTTGAACTGCATGTTTATTATAGAATTCAGTAAAAAGTGCATCTGAAACAATTTATTGTAGATTTAAAAGGTTTGAATTTGTTGCAGTTTTGACCTCACCAGGTTAGCTTTTTCTAAGTTCCAACTAAAGAGTCATGAAGCCACCATATCTTTGATGGCTGAACGAAAAAACTCTTCTAAGAAGCCAGGAGGCTCATAGATGAAGCAAGAAATGACATCCCTGAGAGTTACGACACCAATAACTTCATCTCCATTCACGACGTAAATTCGGTGCACACTTGTTGAAGCCAAGCTATCTATCACACTTCCAAGACAAGTATCAGGAGTGCACGTAGGTAGCTGTGTCCCTGAATCAGGACAGGTTGTCTCTATAGCCTTGATGAAATTCATTACAGTCAGTTCCCTGCTTAAAATACTTCACAAGTAAGAATCTCTTCCAGTTGGGAGAATATTTCAAGTGGGAAAGAGGTTTATAGAGCAAACAAAACATTACTGGAGTCAATCTTACGGAATATAGATGGCCATCTGGGAAAGCAATACCTGAAACCGGAGAAGAGCTCAGGCTTGAGTAACAAGAATCTGATGTCCTGTATGCATAAACTTCCCACCATTTTTCTATTTGAATCCTCAACAATAGGTAGGCCACCTATTCTGTTGTCCTTCATGCGTTTGAAACCTTCTAAGATTAGATCATCACTTTGGATGCTAATAACCTGACATTCAGAAATTGAATATCACTTAGAAGACAAGATAATCATCACAAAGAACACAGCAGTTTGTAGGTATTTTCACATGTATCGGTCGGATCTTAACAAGGTTATTCCTTTTCAGAAGTAGATACCTTAACAAACTCACCAATAAATACCAGAGAAATCAGTCCAAAGAGAAGGCGGCACTCATCCACATCCACTCGAACAATTCGCCCAATCTGAGGCAACCAAAAGGTCCTTACCAGGGAAGCAGATCATCACTTACCTTAGTCAAGCTCTTTACCATCGGAGCCCTCTGAGCTTGCCAATGTCACTTATAGGATGGCACCTAGCTCAATAATCTCACACTCATTCGGCTACAACTCATCCTAGGCTTAGGAATTTGCTATCTCTGCTCACGCTTCTGTTTTCCTTCATCAACAAGGCGATTATGAGCCTCTTAGATTATTTATTGAAATCACAAGATATCCTCCGGCTACATATCTAAAAGAACCCACCCTATGCCAAGTCACCCTCTTAAACTCGCTCGACGACAAGCCACACGTTGGGTCATTAATTTCGTCTTCCGAATAGCCCATCAAAAGGAGCTACATATCCTAGACTAGTGTGTAGCATTGTATCGACATCTGCATGTAGCCCACATTTTATGTCTTTTCTAGCCTTTTTTTTTGTAGCCTTCAAAGCCCTATAAGTACGCGTTAGTGAGGAATAGCTAAGAATCTAAATTTTAACTTTCTAAAGAGCTATAGAACTTTTAGATCTTAAACTTGCTCTGTATTCGTCATTGAGATAGTGAGGTTTTGGCTAGCTTATTCCTTTCTACACACTCTCTCTCTCTCTCTCATCACCTATTCTCACCAAAAGATTCCCCCAAGCTTACCAAACAAATCTACTAAGTAGGGTTTGTTATCATCCAGCGAATAATTTTGGATCCAACAACCTAGACATTAAAACATTTATTCAAAAAGCATCCAAATGTCAAGAATGTTAGCATCTAGAACATTCGCATGAAATTAAAATATTCATAAATAGTAGTATACTCTAAATATATATATATATATTAGCATTTCACATATACCTTGCAGGTTCCAATAAGAGAACTCGATCAAAATAGTCACATCACCTATGTGAGACACTCGCGAGTAGGAGAAGCGACTCGTCCAAATCAACCAAATCAAGGAGTCGCCTAGGCACGCACATTAGGAGGCTCTTAGATCTTCCCAGCACGAGGGGGGCACTCATCTCGTTGAAGATTAGCCTGCCAAGGCTACTCATCATTAGCAAAGCCATCAAGTCACCATTGACATCCCCTGATCCAAGAAATAGAAAGTGCATACTTCAAGTGTCCATAAGTACGACCACCTAAACTCAAACAATCATTTACTCATGATTATCATCACCACTCCTTTGCAAGCACAAGTCGAAGTAGATCCTTCAGGGACTCATCTCCAAGTGTAGAGGACTCACCCAAAAGAACTCATCCTGCATGACTTTTTTGAAAGACACTCTTGACACACATGCCAGCGAAGACTTACCTAGGGGACTAGCCCTTAAACTGAGAGCTCTATTAAAGACAAAGTCATACAAGAACCAACTAGCTCATGCCACGTATCATATACAATCAGCAATTGATCATTAAGATTATACATTAATCTTTTATTGAGTGTAATCTTCTTTACATCCCTCAAAAACCTATAAATAAAGGGAGAGGAGATACATTTTGAATCTTTCGAATGATTTCTAATATTCTGAGCTACTTTGCACTCCCTTTTTTCTCACTTTCCATGCTCACCAAAGTCTCTTTAAATTCTCTGAATGTTACATAGAAGATTGCTTGCTAGTAAAGTCAGGTGTCATCCTGGACAAATTTGAATCCAACATCCTGAATGTGCGGTGAGCTTGGATTAATGTTATTGAAATGAAGACAAGAACACCTTAAAAAATTAGCAATACCTAGAGTCGTCAGTGATCATGAATGCCCCAAACTACACTAATCATTGTGACGTCATTGAGGAGGACAGACTTATTAAAATGATTCAACGCATGCTAAGAAATGCTCCAAAGGAGAGCACCCCGGAAGTATCCTTTGACTAGATTGTTCGCCAGAGAAGGCCAAAAATCAAGAAGCTCAACACAACACCCGATATAAATCACACTCACACCATCAAAAATGATTATGAATATTACTTGCCTCCTCGACAAGTGACAAGAACAAAGACAAAATTGACGAACGCAATCCTAAGGGTGATTACAAAGGCGCGTCCGCCTCCAAAATTTAAATCACGCAATTTGGAGTCCTATAAAGGGAGAACTGATCCATGTGACCACATCGCCTACTTTAAGTTAGTGTTATTGCTACTTGACATCGACAACACTTTAAAGTATTTATTCTTTACTGTTTAAGGAGTCGGCTCATTCTTGGTTCATTCGTCTGCCTTTAGGTGTAAATACAACTTTTGTAGAGTTTAAGAAGATGTTCATCACTCAATTTGCAAGAGTCTAGAGGCCCATAAAGAGTTCCCAGCCTCACCTGAAGATGCAGCATGAGCCAGGCGAGTCACTCTAGATTTTTATTATTCGGTTGAAATAGGAGATGCCCGAGATTAAAGCCTTAGAGTCAATTATCATGGTTACTCTAAAATAGGGCTCAAGGAAAGGTCCACTCCATTATGCACCAACCAAGACACTACAATAATCACTTGAACTCACCAACAATCATGTTAATACAAATAAATACAATTGGCTGGGCGAGTCTTTTTTTATCATTCATTCGAAAGACTTGCCATCAGGCAATATCAAACCCATGGTTGCGAGCGTGAGAGAAGTTCAAAGAAACCATAGAGTTGATAGAAGGCTACAAATGTTGCATAATTGACACCACCCTAATCCTCAAAGAGCACCCCTACAGGAAAGATCACTTAGAATAGCAAGACCTCCTTCACCTTGAATTGAGGAAGCTCCACGAACAACATGCTCTTATGATGAAGAAAATATACATCCTAATCATCACTATCCCACTATAAATCCCCTACATCTATCCATGATCGAGCTTGTAGAGGCCACCATAAATAAAGAATCCTATAAATACCCATTACAAATAAAACCAAATGCCTATATTGGAAATAGTTCAAGATTATTCGCCTTCCATAAAGACCACGGGAATTTCACTGAGTGCAAGCACCTCTATGGACTCATTAAAGACTGCATCAAGGTGAGAAAAATGAAATATTTTGGATTTGGTCAAATAGAGAAAAATAGAAACGAGTCCATTGTAAGAGAGGGACTTGTCATCGTCGAAGGAAAGTGAGCTGAGTCATCCTAAAGAGCTAGCTCCAAGAGGCTACAAACAGGAGAAGTAAACTTGGCCACCATCATGTAGGAGGCCATTATCAATAACCCAGCTATCATTTTTTTGAAGTTGACAAGCCTACGAGTGGAAACACTTTCAACAATGTTGCAATCATCACAGCTCTAGTTGCCAATAACCAAATTGGTAGCATTCTACTTGACACAGGGAGTTATGTTAATATAATTTTTAAATATATTTTTTGAAAAAATAAATTTATTAACCTCCCAGCTCACTTCAACTTTAGGTCCCCTCTATAGCTTCTCTGGCGAATGTAAGGACACAAGTCTGATCACATTGCTTGTCATCTAGGTTAAGGGTGACCACTAATGCACCACCATGGCTACAACTCCACTATCGAGCGACCCCTCTTGAATATATTTAGGTCAATCCTCTCGACGTACCATGTGGCGGTCAAATTTTTTATAGATGACTTAGATATTATATTTAGAGGAGACCTCATCCAATTGTGGGCGTGTTATCTGATAGCTATCAGGAAGGTGTCGAGCTCATAAGTACTGTGGGCTTCGAAAATTCGGCCCCGGCCTCCGCCCGCACTGATTGCTTTTTCTCGGCGAGGGAGTTTTAACGAACTAAGTTCTGGGATAAATTTTGGAAGGCGGATGGTTTTGTAGATAAGACACTACCCAGAGATTTCGCCCCCATTTTGTGAGGATTTTATGATCTGAGTTCTGGTTTCCTATAGGCGCAAGCCCCTATAGTTAATTATCCTTCCCAATAACGAGAGAGAACTTTCGATTAAGGCTAGTCATCGTTCAGATACGTTGTATCCATAGATACGTAGTATCAGGCATATAGTAGCAGCATGGGCTTAGAAATTTAGGAATTTGAAGATTTTGGAGGATTGAAAATTTGATATTTAAAAATAGAAATTTTCACCATCTTGCACTTAAAGCGGATGGTGGTGGAATGGATGATAGACCCGATAAAGATCCCATGGTTTCGTCCTCCCGGGCCATCATGGTCCCTGGTCTACTTAAATTTGAAGATTTTGGAGGATTGAAAATTTGATATTTAAAAATAGAAATTTTCACCATCTTGCACTTAAAGCGGATGGTGGTGGAATGGATGATAGACCCGATAAAGATCCCATGGTTTCGTCCTCCCGGGCCATCATGGTCCCTGGTCTACTTAGTCAGAGGAGGTAGTCGACCCAACCTGACAGAAGGATCCTTGTCGGCAGCTATGGGTTGCTTCGTCCAAGGGTACCTTGTAGACCTGGGTTGAATGTTTATCTAAGGGAACAAATTTGAATCCACCTTAACTAACAGAAGGCTTTGTGCCCTATCGATCATATCCTATTGACTAATATATTAAGGATTTGATGCCAGTAAGGAAAGTATTGGCTTTAGCCATAATTGGTATTCCGTGGTACCATTTGGCGGCAAAACCACTCGGTTCAGAGGGCCCCGAGTCATAATCGTTTATCCTGCGGTGCCATTTGACGGCAAAACCGCCGGTTAGAGAACACACGTACCACGTCCTTACTAGTAGGAGATTGTTTGAGAATGGATCATAGTGATATTTT